CTAATTCTTCTTGTGGGAGACGGTCTAACCGTTAGACTGCTCGACTCGTTATATTATTTCAACAAAAATACATATTTATACACTATCAAAGGTTATTCTTCTGTTTATGTTGGTTTTCAATAGTATGATATTTACTAATGAAATTACGCACATTTGGAACTGGCCAAACACAAAATCAACCTAATAAAAATGTAGAAATGCATGCAATTAGTTTCTTGAATACCTACATATTATGTTAAATAATGAATTTCTTTCCGATGAATATATATAATCATTTAATTTCTTTATACATCGAATGTAATGCTGAAAACTATTAGCAAATCAGGCTCATCAAGGTAATAATCTTTTCTAGTGAATCCATAATTGCTTAACTTTGATCGATCGCCCCATAAGAGGCAACAACTTGGAGGTACAATACAATACACGTGTACAAATGATGTATTTTTTTTCATTCTTTTGGTTTTGGATGATATAAATAGAATAAGATCCTAGTCATGATCACTGAAATTTGAACACATCATGAGAGCCAAACAATGCAACTCCGATGAACAAAATAATGCAATAGTAGAAGGTCACATTATAATCAATAATATGATGTGATTTAGCAAGCAAAAATGGTAATTAAAAAAGTGACCTAAAAGGAAGATAATGATATATATGCATGTAATAGAGTTTAGGGAAAAATTAACCTTAATGTTAGGCTTTAAATGGTTGTGCCATCTTTCCCTACATTGCTTCCCAATCCTCCCAGGAAGCATTTGAGCAATTGAAGACCACTTTCTTATTCCATTTTTCTCCACCAACTCCACCAGCAACCTAAAAATATTCCAAAAATAATAAATTATTATTAATAATAATAATAATCAAACTAATTACAATTGTTCACTTGTGCTAACAAAAACTCATACTATCAACTAACGATATATATAAACTAGGACTCGATAAATCAAAAATAAATAAAATGAACCGAATAATCAAGAAATTAAACAAGATTCAAACTAATTACAATCGTTCACTATGTGCAAACAAAACTCATATGTTCAACTAATGATATATATATATATATAAACTACGACTCGAGGAATCAAAATAAAATAAAATGAACCGAATAATCAAGAAATTAAACAATGAGTACCCATCTTCTTCTGGAGTCCATTGGCCTTTAATGATTTCGGACTTTTTATCGATAACTCTTTTCCTCTTCCCCTTTTGCTTGTTATCTTTCGTGTTCCGATTCTCATGATCATCTTCATCCACAATCAAACCCTTGTCCAAAAATCGACTATTTGAGTAGCTAATAATTTTTTCCGAATAATCCAAACGCTCTTCCATTTGATACGGATCCATCATTACAAGAGGACCTCTCGAGCGATCTTCATTGACGTTAAAACACGCTTGAAATGGATCAAAAGGGTCGCAAAAAGACGAGTAGTGAAAAGTCGAGTTATTGTCGATCCATGATGAGCTGTCAATCAAGGGGTTATCATGATGATCAAGATTGTGAAGTTGAACTTGATGAGATAAAGCAGAAAAACCCTTATGATCATCTAATTGGTGTGTGTATGGATTTTCATTGTAAGGGTTAGAATACTGGCCAAGATTGTGCCTGTGGACTGTATCAAAATCCATGCAGTGAAGGAGAAAAATAAAATGAAAAGAAAGAAAAAGGAAATAGACTATAATCAGGGATGATCAGTTTTAGAGAGAGAAACAAGAGAGCTAGAGAGTGAGAGAGGAGAAGGAAAGTGCGAGAGACAATGTGAGTAGTGAGCTGCAAGAAGAGGGTGAGTTGTAATAGATTTATGAGTAATAAAAGGTGGGTTTTGATGCGAGAGTTAATGACCATTGATGTAGAGGCTAATCTCATGGTGAGGAGGGATAATGGAGACTATTAAGCTTCAAAAGAAAGAAAGAAAAAGAAAATAAATGGAAACCTAAGGTAGAAAATACTATACTATATAGAAAGGTTTAGGTTATCATTATGTATTTTTTTCTATCTTCTTTGGGTTTTTATGTTATATCGAATTAATTAATTTATGTTAATATTACCGCAGAAATTTCATTCTGCAATTAAGCCTCCAAGTTAAAAATTTGAGTTGTCACCACTGATTATAAATAGTAATTTAACGGGTGATAAATTCTATTTATGCCTTTACACCATTTGTGATAATTTAAATTCCCAGCTCTTAAATCGATCGTTGACCCTTGAAATGATAGCATTAATAATAAATTTAATTAATCAATTAGTTAACTTCCTAGGTATAACAATAGCAAATTGATAATTTTCCAATAAAATGATTATTATGATCGTGAAGGAGAGACCATGACAATTAGAAAAATAAATAACTTCAATTTGTTATTTCAATAATCATCGTGGATTTGCAGCTATGAAATATGGGTTATCAACTTATCATCTACAATAATATCCTTCAATCTATCACACCATCACCTACCCAAATGTTCAACTTCGTTTGCTATTTTTTCATGATTTTTTAACCACCTTCAAGAATCTTTTTCCTTAATTTTCTTTTCTTTATTTCAGTACCCACTTGACCATTATTCTTGATATGCACGAAATTCAAGAATAAGAATTTCGGGCAATGATGGCTTGTGAACCCATTTCGCAATAATCAGACCCTGACTTACCCTCCTCATATATGCCATTGTTTCGCGGCCCATATAGGTCGACTAACCAAAACTCATCATCGTCTAACAAGAAGCAATATTCCAGCCTCCAGGTACTAAATGCATACCAAGATCGTTGCATAATTTGCATTTAGCAACAAATTAATCCTGCTTACCAAGTACAATTACACAACACACAAGTAATGGCAAATATCAGCCAGCCAAAATGGGCTCTCAACTAAAGCAGAGTCTAGTCCCCACCTAAAAATTACAAATGAATTAAAGCAATTTTTTTTTCTTTTTTTTTTTTTNTATCATGAAAAAACATAATAACCCCACAGTCAGAATGCTACAACACATAAGGCAAAGTAAATGATATTTATATGTAATGTAATATATATCCTTCAACCTAGCCAACCATTATCCTTTTTTATCATGCCCTCTTCTCGATCTTCATTATGCAGCAGTCCTTTCTTGTCAAGGTAGTTATCCTTTTTACTGTAGTTATCATGATGTGAAGCCCGTCCACTCCTAGACGATGGTGATCGGGCCCGGCCCGGGATAGAATCATAAAGATCCCTTCGTGTGGAAATAAATCTCTCGGGACTTCGGCTTCGGCTTCTACTCCTGCCTCTTTTCCTGGCAGCAGCAGAATTCATGCTCTCGTGAAAGCTCTTATTATTACCAAAGCTTCCGTTCGCACTTGTTTCGTGCCCGCTTGGAACAACATAACCGTGTCTGAAAAGGAGTCGTAATGAAAATGGGTTTCGACTTACAAACATTCAGGATATTAGAATATAATGGAAACACTAACAGAACATTTTTATTTAAGCAAAATTGCCCTTAGTATCATGACCTTTTTCGTAACTGCAATTTAATCACGACTTTTTCATTTTTGCAAATTATATTACAATCTTTAGTTTGTAGCAAATCGGTTATCCCGTGCAAACTATATCACAATCTTCAGTTTGTTGTTCGACCACATCAGCTTTTCTATGACTGTTTTCAGACTGTTTGCAACAAACTAACGATTATGATATAATTTGCAAAAGTCAAAAGGTCATGATTAAAATTGCAGCTTCGATAAAGGTCGTGATATTAGGGGCAAATTTGCTATTCAGATAACACAGCACAACACACAAATTGTATCTTTAAAAAAATATATATATATATATATATATACTACCTCCTATTCTTTTTAAATGTCATTTTGGCTTTATCAACTATTAACCAAAATAAATGTCGTTTTGGATCTTTTGTACGTATTTTTTCATGATTACCCTCATTTAGTTAATAAATACACTACGTCTTTTCATCTTCTTTTCATCTTTTTTTTAAAACATCCATCTCTATCTTCATTAATGAGGGTTATTATTGGCAAAAAAATTATTCTTAATTAGTGTGCAACTTCCCAAAACGACACTTATTATGAATAGGAGGGAGTATATAATATACCTATCACGTGGGTCACGATCATAACCACGGCTAATTTTCCTATCGGGAGATGACGCTCCCCACCTGCCGCCACCGGCCCTCCCACGACCTCCGGCGATGTGGTGTTTTGCTCGTCCACGAGAAGCCATATCACGGACCTCATTGGGGACACGCTGATTGGCTCCCTCCAAAAGCTTCACAAGTTCTGCTGCATGTTTCGAGTCTTGATCACAAAGGAAAGTGTAGGAAACTCCAGTAGCTCCCGCACGCCCAGTTCTTCCTATCCTGTGCACGTAATCCTCGATTCCAGTCGGGAAGTCGAAATTTATGACAACCCTGTGAAAAGCAGAGTCGAGTAAGAAAATCTCAAAAGCAAAAGAAAAAAAAAAAAAAGTAACCGAAGACAGAATATTCTTCAAATCAGTTTCAAATGTACAAGAAGACATTCTAAACATTACAAACCTTATATCCTTAATGTCGAGACCACGAGCTGCCACATCAGTGGCTACCAGTATTGGGGCCCTTCCAGTGCGAAATTGATTCAAAACGTAGTCTCTCTCGCCCTGAGATTTGTCCCCGTGAATAGCAACGGCTCCGAACTGCCGAGTTAAGTTGCCAGCAAGCTGATCACACATTTTCTTTGTGGAGCAGAAAATAATAACCTTTGATCCTGCTTCTTGAGATCTCAGTATCTGTTCCAGGCGTCTCCTCTTGTCCATGGGTGGCAAAACTTCAACATACTACACAAGATAAAACCATTATTATGTTATAATAACAAGGTCAAAAACAAAAGTATTATTAAATACAATGAATCCAGAAGAGATACCTGAGTTATTGCCTTGTTTGCAACAAGCTCATCGACATTTCCAATGTTAACCTGAACAGAGTTAACCAGTAAATCAGCAGCAATTCTGCGCACTTCCTTTGGCCATGTTGCAGTGTACATAAGGGTCTGCCTTCGAGAAGGCACCTGCTTCACGATTTTCCTGATCTGAGGTTCAAACCCCATGTCCAGCATCCTATCTGCCTCGTCCAAGACCAAATACGACACTTGGTGGAGGCTAATTCTTCTCATCTCCAGAATGTCATTCAATCTACCAGGAGTAGCAACCACCACATCTACACCTCTGTCAATATCCCTCAACTGAGGACCTTTAGGGGCACCTCCATATAAACACTACATTAAGAAACCCCAACATTAAAAATCAGCCACACAACACAAAAAGACCCAACAACAATGACGAAGTCTGATACAAATAACAAAAAGCTCATAAGAAATTTGTTTACATCTACAATTAACAAAACCATAGGGGGAAAAAGTATTCAAAATCAAGGCAATTAATTAAAACATATGACAAGACCAACTGAGGAACACTTGCAGACAAAATATGGAAATTATACACATTGTCCTACAAAAGTCAATCAGATTTACAAATAAGCAACATCATAAAAATGCAGCAGTCAAGATTATGAGGCAGGATTAAAACCATACCGTGCAAGATATCTTAGACGATCTTCCAAACTTAACAGCTTCATCTTGAATCTGAGTTGCAAGCTCCCTTGTCGGAGAAAGCACCAAAACTGTTGGGCCTAATTTAGGATTATTACGCCTTTGTTTCAAATGAATGAACCCAGGAATTAAGTAGCCCAAAGTTTTGCCAGATCCTGTCTTAGCAATGGCTACTATATCACGCCCTTGAAGAGCAATTGGCCATGACTGCGCCTGTATTGGAGTAGGAACAGAAAAACCAGCATGCTGTACCTGTAAAATGGAACCGAAAAAAGAATACGGACACCATAAGCACAGTTGGTGCTTCAAAAGTTCTGATTGGTTCTTTTTTGGACTAAGCAAGTTGGCCACGGTAAGAAGAAGCATCATCCCCTGGTGATGTCAGGCACTGCTTGCAGAAGCAAGCAATATCAAGAGGACAGCTCTTCTTCTATTCGGACCAAGAGGCACACTGAATGGCAACCAACAGAATTCCCTCCCAAGCTTGGATGATTCGGAAAGCCCCCTCACATAAATTGGTCCATCAATAAGGGAGCTCCAAAAACATGCAAGCCTGCACAGGAGGGCCACAGCGTACGACATTTGACTCCTCCAGGAGCAAATATCGCACCTGAGACAAAAGGTTCAGACGGAAAAAACTGAGCATGAGTTCCCAAACACCACATGGAGCCCCAGCAGTATCTCAAAAGTGAGAAAAGAGTAAACCTGGCTCATGATTACAACTCACAAGTGCATCCTAAGTGAGAGTACAGAAACAAATTAAACCATACCTCCCTTAATATCTCTGAAGGAAAACCAGTGGATTCAAATGAGCTGAAAGGTGGAGGGACATTATCTCCCTAGCCAATTGAAATACAGAATAGTCAGTTATAATTTACAAAGAAAGTTAAATCAAAGTGTCGTACATATGAACAGACTCATGAGAGCAGGAAGTAAACATATTTCAACAAAACTTAAACGACTTCGAGAAAGGGATCCAATGATATCTCCTCTGTACTCCATAAAACCCGAAAACAACATCAAAGAAATCATTTTCATAACATTAACTACTGAATCTGACAACAAATTAACTAACTCAGTATCTTCTAAATATCAAAGACCCTCACATATCATAGTCGATATTGATAACAAATAGGCTGCACAATACCAATCATGAAGCATGAAATAACATTTTGAACGACACCAGGTAACGCATTAAGTTGATCTAGGGATCAACATGAGAAATGCACATAGTCTAGCCATCAGCAGGTTCAGATGCTTACTGTTACAGAAATCTCGTGGCGCCGCCGATAAGACTCTGCCGACACACCGCTTTCTACACCTTTAGAAACATACGATCCCTGTCCATGACTGCTTCTGAAATCTGCATCAGTGGGAGAATAATCTGGTCTGCTTCTGGCGGTCTAGAACAACAATAAAATTGGAAGAGTCAAGTAAATTGCATAACTAATTTGCATTCAGCAACTTCATCAACAAGTCAACAACCGACTAAAAACACCTGATAAATTCCTGCTCGAGAAAGTACCTTTGCTGATCCATTCATGCCATCTTTATTATATCTATCGTCATCATAGTTCTCATGTAGACATCCCTGGGGGAGCTTTTGGACGGACGAACTCAGAGCTTTGTGAGATGATGCAGAGCTTGCATGCAATGAAGAGGCTACAGGTTTCTCATATTGGGTTATATTGGTCTCTGGGTTCCAGTAATACAGATAACCAGTCTTATCATCAACAAGTCCTTTCCATGGTTTGGGGAGGGTGGGGTCCTCAGGTGCATACCTTATACCAGCTCCTGCAACTGCCATATCGGAACTTACCAATAACCTGGCAGCAAAAAGGTGAATATGTTTTATGCAACTCCAAAAAGAAGTCACACAAATACCAGAAACTTCTACCAAAATGGTTTTAGAACACTGGTTATAAAAGTATAAACAAACAAATTGCAAAAAGATTTGAGCTGTCAGAGCAAACACCAGAAACAATGCTGCAAGCTACAATATAGAAAACATACTTCATAAGTTGTCAGCAAGTTCAACTTCCAAGCGAAAACCTACGGTAAAAAGATAGCATAACATAGCACGAATTCAGCTTTCCATAAATCTTAAGAGCATTCATTAAATCAAATGTCAAAACTAGCCCATAGTTGATCCGACACTTAAAAAAAAATCAACAGAACAAAAAATCAGCACCACATCCAAAGATCTATATTCGAAAAACAGCAATCGGATTAACATACAACCCTTCTACCGGAAAATCCTGGTCCGAAACCCTAACAAAAGCCAATATAAATGTTCACAGCCGATTGACGCGAATTGTTCGCCAAAACGTCTAGATCTAGAAAGAACTAAAATCCACAACTGGACATACATAATAATAACACAAATCACTAGCAAATACAAAGAAATCGAACTGAACCGTCGACTTTTGCAGACTATAATCGCGATAATAGGAAGCAATACCTCACCAGAACTGTCTCCTCTCTCTCCTCTCTCTTGAGTGAGAAACAACCTTAGCAGACGAAGAATATGATTGGATTTTAGAGAGAGAGAGAGAAAAGAGAGGGATCTCTACGCTCCCGATAAACCAGAAGCGTAGGCAAACGCAAAGATGGAGGGGCCATGGTCATTTATATACGAATTGATGAATCTACTTTTTAAAATTAGGTATTTACTTTTGTTTTTTTTTTTTTTTTTTTTTTTTNTGTATGTATAAAAAAATATTTATCTCTATAACAATAATAAAATTATTTTTTAATATTAATTAGAAAAATAAAATTATTTATCAATTAATATATTTATATTTCAAGTATTTATAATATAAGTTATAAAAAATTACTATAATATAACACATTTAAGTCGCGCAAGTAACAAGTGTAATTCTAAAATATATAATAATATTTTTTTCGTAAAAAATTAAATAAAATTTAAAATAATTTTTCTCATTAATTTTAAAATTTAAGAATAATTTTTTAACAAGCACCCATATTAACGGATGTTATACTAGTATTTATTTAATCATAAATCATGAAAGGTTTCTTTTACCAATGAGGTTAGGGGACCATTGGAAAATTGTGCGCATTGGTCTAAATTTATTAAAATGGTCTAGAATTTATGATATTTTCTAAAATGTTCTTAAAATTTATAAATTACAATGTCTTATTTTTATTTTAATAATAGGTTGTTGAATTATTCGTGATAATCTATATTTATATCTATATCTATATTTATATCTATATCTATATGATAGATCAATCCATTTTGCTAAAATTGACTAACTTTTTCCCGCCAATATCTATATCTATATTTATATTCATTTGGTAAGTCATTGTATATCCACACATAATATATTAATTTTTTTTTTTTTTTGCANTTTTGCATATTCATGCATAGCATGATATATTGGTAGGATCAAGAAAGCATATATCTTCAAAGATTCAAGATTAATCTTTATTTTGTAATATATTGACATATTCACGCTTGATATTTTTAACTTATATAAAGATGGTAATAGGCTTATTTTTAAATTACACCGATTTAAATAATAATCCATATATTGGTAAGTCACCACAAGCTTATATCTTCGATATTCACGGATCATTTACCAGTGATAAATTTTGTATAATTTTATAGATTCATGATTTTGGTTATTTAATATCCATATTACATTATTAGTATATACCTCATATAGTTGATTTGGCCTTGATTTTGGAAATGATTGTAGTGCATATAAGCTAAAATTTATTTATTAATTAATATAAACATATTACCATCTTTAGGTAATTTTATATTATTTATTAATTAATATAAACATATTATCATCGTGTGATGTGATTATATAACAGTGAATAAGATTAACACTACGATCGAAATGCAGAAGACATATTTTACACGTACTCAACAAAGCTTCAAAAAATTGGCTCCCCTCTTTGTGCCGATAAAAAATTTGACTGACTTATTGCCACATCAGATGTTGAAACTTCGTCTAATTAGGATGTACGAAAGGATTACAACCTGTGGAGAAAACGTGATTCACTTTATTGAGTACATTTTTCATAATCTCTAGGTGTGTTTATGGTCCAATATTAGTTTATATAATTTGCTATTCAACGATATTATAATGTCTTTAATTATTGTGCATTTTGGGCCTTTTTAATGAGTATGTTTATGCCGTTTGAAAAAAAAAAAATTATTGTGCATTTCTATGACGTGTTAATCTTATCAAAACTCCTCGAGAAGTGGTTTGTCCAATGAACATAATATTTTTATTCTAAATATGTAATAAATAACGATACCATGGTCTTTTTTAGACTTTGAATTGTTGTTGGCCTTTTCACTCATCGTAGTTCACAAAGTTAATTGTTCTTGTCAAATTATTGATTTTTTTTAAAATTGAGAAATTGAGAAAAATTAAACACCCACGGCATGTCTATCTTGTAGAAATGCAAACACTCACATTATATATAAATATACTTATTAGTTATTATGTGTGTTGATAATGATTATTGCTAATAGCAATTGAAAAAGTTTATTTTGTAAAATGAAGTCTTCACAGACAAATTCTTAATTTTGCACAACATACAAAAATTGAGAAAAACCGTCTGCAACTCCAAATTACATGTACGGTAATAATAATGACCATTTCAAATTGAATGAAGTTATATCATTAACATAAATTTGTTGCTTGCCACTAAGGTTATTTGAGAAAAATAAATAAAAAACAATTGCAGCTTTATTGGTTTATTATGTACGTAGTAATAATAATAACCATTTCGTATTTGTATGAAAATAAAATTACTAAAAGGCGGCATCAATGTTAAATAAAAAATACATGTGGATTAAATAATACATTGAAATTTATGAATGTTTCTTCCTTATATTGTAACAATAATTACAAATTCATTTAGAAATATTTTGATAATCTTCTACATCTTACTTATGTGTTCATAGGGAGACCTGATTCAAGGTACCATTAAATAAAAGGATAGAGATATCACGAAGAATCTTGTGGACGAAAAAAATTATGTTTAAATCAATGGAAATTGATTGAAATTGATTTGATGTAAAAGTAGGAGATAAATGATTGAAAATGATTGGAAATGATAGGTGGTTAAAATTATGTGAGTTGGTGAATTGTGAATTAAAGTTGATGTGTAAGAATAATTGGTTTGTATAATTTAATTATATGAATAATATTAAAGATAGTGGGGTTGAGTTAAAGTTGAGTTAGATTTTGAGTATGAATTGAATGAGAATGAAATAATTTTTAAACAAGCATGCCCCTAGTTTGTGAATATCACTGTAACCGGTGATATCATCAATCTATTTTTAATGACAATTTTTCATAATATTGGAATAAATTTTATTTTTTTTAAATTGATTTGCAAAAATATAATTATTAATTAATTAATAACTTACTAAAATAATTTTTATTGAACTATATTTTCCGTGCATCGCACTGGTTTAATACTAGTGTTATTAATAATTAAAAATTGAGTAGAAATGGGGCCCATTAAGGGCTATTTGACTATTTTGAGCCCACTTCAGAAGGAAGTTTCGGTACAGCACGGCCAGGGTCAGTCTATCACCAAGTTTTAGGCCAGTAATGGAATATATGTAGCACATTGGGCTAGTTTATTGGGCTCCTAGTGGGAAGATACAGAATAAAGATGGCCCATATCTTCTGGATAAGCAAATGTTAATTGCCCCACAATCGACCCGAACCTAAGAGGTTTGAGTGCGGCCTATCAGGGCTCATTTAAGATTTAATGACAAATTTTAGTTAATTTTAATTTAATGTGTGGATGAAGGTGCGAATAGGCTACCAAACTTCCTAGTAGACGAATGGAAGTTAACCATAAGACTAACAAACAACAAATAAATTAAATATACTGCAATGACACATTTATTTGGTATAATCAAGTCTCGAAGCAATAATCAACTATTTTCAATTGTACATATGACGTTAAGAGTAGCATCATCTCATACAATAATAATAACATCATATACGATTCATATAGTTCTCACATTTTTTATTATAATCTTAAACTATGTCTTTTTTTGGCTGTTAGCAGATAGCTGACTGTGCTAGCGAATACCTGTAACCGAATTGTAAAAAATTGATTTGACTAACGAGTTGTATTAGTTGTTCGTAAATAATTGTTTGATAAATGACGGACTATATAAATATTTTAAATTGAAAATTACATGTTGAGACGTTATTCTATTAATTCTCTTTTCTCAAAACACTCAAGTATTAGAT